ACATACATATACACACACACACACACACACACACACACACACACACACACACACAAATCCATGATGTCCTGGAGTAAACCTGGACTGGAGCAGATAAAAGCTCAGATACCAGATGACATCAGTGCTAGGAAGAGAAAAAGAATCAATGGCTGACTCCTTCAGTTTAATGAAGCAAATACAAACCTTAGACATTTCATTAAAAAGGGCTGACTGATGTGGATCAGGTTGGTAGCTGTGGAATCACATCACAGCTGCAATGTCACGCCCCAGCTATGAGCTCCGTCTCTGGGGGTTTGAAAAAAAGACACACAAGCCAAATTAGAGCGGGAGGTCTGAGACTGGAGACCTCTCAACAGATGATATCAAATCTGAGGGGACTTATCAGTTTCTCCTCTTCTCACAGCTGCTCGTGGTGTATAACGTGTCTTTGTTTCTGTCTTCTGCCAAATGCAGATTGATTCTGTGTGAGAAGGAAAGGGGGGGGGGGGGGTTCTCTCTTTACCCCCATTCAATTGAAAAAAATAAAATTGATTTGCTTACTCATTGGCATTCATATGTATCCCTTGTGCTCTCGCTGTCTAGACGCCAAACTCGCACACCTGTTTCATCAAGAACTGTCTGCTCAAGATGACATATTTGTAACATTAAGCCGGGAAAAGTGGTAATGTCTGGAATTGTGAGGTTTTATCTGTGCCGTCATTTATCATACACCAAACATGGAAACACATTCATCCTGGTTTTATTTCACAAACACCAACAAAACCTCTACAAGACACAGGTTGCAGCTCACACTTGTAAAATCGAAGAGATAAACAGTGGTAGATTTCCCCCGATGCCTTCTCGGCCACCATTTTCTAGATCTTTAATGCTGATCTCATAATGTCTGAAACTCATAATTAGCTCCCTTAGACTAGAAGTAATGTATTTTGTGGAAAGGAAGATACCATTACCTGCACATTAAAACACCCTATTGTGGACAGCAATAAATGGACTAAGAATAGAATAGGGCATTATGTATGACAGGTAGGGGCTGTGTAAGGGAAGTCATTCAATTCAAAATGGGGGACGAGTGAGTCTGAATTGCTTCATTATAGTTGGTACAGCGGTGGTCAGCAGAGATCTGTGGTGAAATGTAAGAACATTAACTCACAAACTGTACAATTTTGAGGTACTTGTACATTCCTTGAGTTCCCCCATTTTCTGCTACTTCATACTTCTACTCCGCTACATTCAACAGGCAAATGTTTTACTCCACTACATTTATCTGAAATCAATAGTTACTTTGGATTTTCAAAAATAAACATACAATAATCTTGTGAAATAAAATTAGTTGTTACAACCTAGATTAGATAAAAAATAACTCCACCTCAACAAGCTACAACAGTAATAATTTGATACACGTTATGAATCATATTTTATCATTTTTCATCACTTAAAATCTAAAACTATAATGTATAATAATATAACATTTAGAGACGCAATTCTGATGCATTATGGATATTTTTACTTCTAATAGACGACTGATATTAAGGTATTTTCACACTGCAGTATTGCTTCTTTTACTGAAGAAAATGATCTGAATACTTCATCCACTCATTGCAGAGTCCGAGAGGAACTGAGAGATTGGATTGTCTTTTAATAAAGAATCGAAAACTACGATTGGAAAATAAAAAATAAATAAGCTGTGATGGAAACGTTAATAACTTGCTCGGACCACTTCCCTGAAATACTTTTCCAAAGGTATCAAGTAATGCTTTATAGCATACAGGCACCTAATGTTCTCTACGAAGAGCAGACAGCACTTCCCTCTCGGAGGTCAGACATGGTGCGCACATTCTCCCTCATTAGGTGGGAGGAGCGTGTTGCACTGGGACGCCGCACGATGCAGCAGTCCCGTTAAAACCTCCAGGTCCTCCTCCAGCGAGCCGGAGCTCTCGATCACCTGTAGTGTCACTTTAAACAGCGCGACGCTTGGATTAAAAAAAAAGTCAAATCAGTGAAATATGACTGAAGCCACTTGGAAACAGAGCGCCGGCGCGACATAGGTAAGGCAACGATGCGAATGCCATGAGATTCTTTAAGTTAAAAAGGTTTTCGAGATGAAAATGTTAATTTTGAAATGAAACGGTTTTTCTCTTCTTTCCTGCCCGTGCGTAATGGATGCCGTTTGGGTGCAGACGCATATGGTTCAGGTGCGTCAATTAGGCTTTTTTTTCTAGAAGAAAAGGATAACACAAAATTATTCCAAAAATATATTGAGATTTGCAGTGTGATTTTCACAATAATAATCTACATTTTAAAGCCATTCATAAATAGGTTACTGCACATGATCTCTTCAAGGAATTTGCCATTTCCTCTGAATTCTCAATTTATGGTTTCTTTTCTTTTCCTAAAACGAACTTTTGAGTAATGTCATATATGTAACGTGTGAAAACATCGCTTCTTCACACAAAGAGAGCTCTTTTTGCAACTTCCCATTTCATATTTCGCAGGACAAAAGGGGGTCTTGCTGGATATAACGATGTATCTCACAGCGGTGGTCTTGATTGTGATCGTGACGGGAATTGCCAAAGGTAATCTCAGATTTCGATCAGTCCACTGAGACAACTGTTAGAGACGCACATTTGAGTCGTGAAAAAAACTGTTTTTCAGAACAGATTTACTCTGTGCGTGGAATGAAATTATAACGGATAAATATTTTATTGCTGTGAATGTTTTATGTGTGTTTTTTATGGAAACAGATGTTGTCCCTTTCTTTCCGTCTCAAAGGTTGGCAATGCAGAGCAGGGTGCAACACATATAATGGGTTTTGTGAGAAGCCAGGGAAGTGCAGGTACTAAAACGACTCCAGATTCCTATGTAGATGAAAGCTTACCCAGTGGGCTTTTGTGACCTTATTTCCATAAATCGCTGGAGCTGTAAATGTCCCCTAGAGAAATGCTATCACAATCCAACTGGATCCTTCTGCTGTTTTTTTAGATTTGTTTGTCACTTATGTTGTGTTAAATCAACTGCCAAATCAGCCCTTTGTTTGAACAGTAAAAAGCATTGTAATCCGAACCGATAGCACAAACGCTTCTGGTTGCAAAGCATGCCCAGTTTAAAATATTATTCTGGCAAATGCTACTGTATCTACTCTTGAGCCAAAATAATAATTAATCTCTGCTAGTATTTTGGGAATTTAACCAATTATTGCATAATGCAGATAACGCAAACACGACTGTCATTTCACTTTCATGGAGACATTATGGGGACAAGAGCAGGACTGCAAAGCTCTGTGAGTGGTATCTTTATAGTTCAGGATTGTTCCCTTTTTTCCCTCTTTCAGGTGCAAACCAGGATGGGAAGGAGAGAATTGTGACCAGTGCCTGCCCTTCCCCGGCTGTCTGCACGGCACATGTGAGAAGGCATGGCAATGTGTCTGCGAGGAAGGTTGGGTGGGCAGCCTTTGTAACCGAGGTGAGTTTCATTAAGCTCTCCTGACACTCGTATCTCTGCCTCAAACACTTTCCCATACCAAAGGTTAGGGTGAGTCACAGAGCCCCGAGGACACGCAGGTTGCCATCGAATGAGGCCAGTGTCTGGAGAATAGTTAACTGTATTTTTAGAAGGGCAAAGCTAGAGTAGATAAGATCTGTCTAAGCGAAGAAGAATGATGGCTCAATGATGAAAGCTGAAGACACACATACACAAATTATAAACTGCTGCTTTTGAGCTATTATGCAAGACACATGATAGAAAAACCTCAAGATTGATGCATTGAGGCTGCAGAGAATTAAATGTTGAAGCAATATAAAAGTCACATTTCCACTTCAGACACACTATTTAAATCAAGCACTGATTATAATTGCTATAGTATCTACAATGAACATTATCGCATGGAAATGACCTGCTGCCACTCAAGCAATAATAGGCAGAGGTCGACCGATTAATAAGCGCCGATAGGACGTGTTATAAACCACGTTGTCGGTGGAACTGGGCTCTGATGACTGCGCAGCCGCCACCAGTCACACGGGGACGTACATCACCATTTTGCATTGCGGCTCCATTAGACATAATGAGGTGCATTTCTGCTGAAAATATCTGTGTGCATATGATTAACTCCTGATAATAACTCCAACTACTCCAACCATAATGCACAACAGAGTTTAAAATGCATTTTAGATGTTTACTATATAAAGATCATTTGAGATATTCTTTTAACAAAACCAGCCAAGCATATATAGTCCAATTAATCAGCTTTTTCCTGCTGCAAACTATCATTATTATATCGGCCTTTAAAAATCCACTATCGGGTAACCTCTTATAAGAAATAAAGAGAGAAGATTAAAATAAGTATTTCGTTTTTGGCTTCAGCTCACACAGTGAATCTCTTATTCTGTTTGAGCCTATGAGCTGCTTGCCTGTGGAACTTTGTCGGTTTATGTTCTCACTTTTGTTCTCGGTGACAAGACGCTGCAGCGGGGAGCCGTGAAAGTGGAAACAAAGAAGAGATGAGAAAGCAGGCAGAGAGACAGGAAGTGAGAGAGAGCACATGACATCTAAAAACAGCATGCTTTTTTGTCTTTTTTTAAACAACAGATCCTCGCCTTTGCTCATCCGGGCCTTGTGTTGGTAATGCCACCTGCATAGAGACAGGGGAGGGGGGATACCTGTGCATCTGTCCCCATGGCTATGATGGTGAACACTGCCTACCGATGAGAGGATTGTGTCTCATAAACAGGTACCGGCACCTTTTTTGAGGTTCTATTTTAGTAAAGGAATACTCCAATGCTTTCGAGCCTTATCTCAATTTGTTTGTCATTAGGAGCAGTAATCAATGCAGTGTCTGTCAGCTGTCTTTGTATCCCCAAGGGATCCAATCGAACCCACCTCACATGTATAGGTAGCTCCTAATAGCAGGCTGCTAGCAGAGGAAATATTGAGTGATCTTTTTTCGTCACTGCACAAAACTGTAGCCAGTTTAGTTGTTGTGACTTGTAAGAAGCAAGAGTGTGTTTGCACATTTGTAAGACAAGCAGAGAGGTTCCCTTTGATTTGATTACCCCACAAACACGAGCATGTGCGAAATGGCAAGTTTCCAACTTTGTGAAGGGAAACTCCACTTGCTCTTGTCACAAAGTTAACTTACTCTGAGGGCTGACTTTTCTGGTTTGTAGGTCTAAGACACTGCATAAAAAGCTAAGAACATGGTGTTGATAGTGAACAAAGGCAACAAAAGAACCTGCAGGCAGGCTTCAAGCACCTGACGCAAATTGGCACTAGAGGTGCATCAACTCAGGGCAGGGGGAATACCTAAAACATAAAATTACTGATTTTTATTTGGCCACATAGGGACAGCAGAAACAAGATGTGAACACAACATTTACCTATTGCTTTAGCTTACAGCGTCTTCATTTAGTTTAAGTTACGTTCTGTACCGTTACAGTTCAGACTTGCTGGGTTAAGGATAACGTACACTGCATGCAAAACTTTGTCGACTGTTAACTTTCGTTATTATCGCAAATTAGGGAAAAAAAGTAAGGTGAATTATCAGAAAGCCTGCAAGCAATAACTTACACAGTAGGACGTATTGAGAGTGTTCCGTTTCTGGCGTGGGCATTTGTGATTAACAGTTTCTGAAAGGCAGCCTCCCGGTGAGAAGTGCAGCTCTGGCTGTCGTTACAGTTATAGAAATGATTGTAGTATAATAATGTATTATTATTATAAGTGTTTTCCAAATGCTTTTAGTCACGTGTGCTCTATTTGCAACAATGCTACATACAGTAAAGCATATCATTATTTCACCCCTTGCCGGTTTTGTAAGTGCCCACTAACAAAGAAGCCTAATCAGACTCCGGACCTTAACATAGAAAATCAGTGGAGGGAGCTGAAAATTCGAGTTGCCAAGTAACCCCCCGTGTTCAGTGCACGCAGTCACTCATCAACGTTAAACCGGAACACGGTCGGATCTGGTTGCAGGGTGTTTTTTTAACTCAAAGTAGAATGAGGTGATTTCGTGGTGATTTTTCACCTCTTATGAGTTTGCAGGTATGAGTAACAGTGGAAGTTAATATGAAGCCATACAGTAACAGGGTTCAATGAAAAGGAATCACTTTATTTTGTACAGGCGATGGTTCTCGCTACTCTTGCTATCTTTGTTGTTATATGACTAAAACTTTTGAAAATGAGACCTCGGTCTCAAATGGATTTTGTCTAAATAAAGGTTAATATTAATAATAATAATATTGATTTAAAAAAAAAAAAGCTAACTAGTCAGCTGTTCAGCTAGAACTGAAATACTGATAAATCACTGAATAATAAATTAGTTTTTTGCTTAAAGTAAATATTGTCTTATCACTTTTATTCTCAGAGTACACCAGAATGCTACATTTTAAAGCTCATATTTAAAATAAAATTCTCGGAGCACCCGGACAGGGTTTCGGGCTTGTCACCCTTGTCACACCAACATGTACTAGCAGATCCTCTGATTGAAGGGCGACCCACTCTACCACTGATTCACAGTTGCCCTACACTTATGAAGTGAAAGTTGTAACTTCCGGCATGTTTAGGGCCGGCCTTTTCTTTCAGTCAGCAAATGCAAAACACTGCAAACGGTAAAAGCAAAGTGTGACTCTTCTATGCTTATCTAGCCAAAACAATTTTCCTGTCGGCATGAATTTTCAAGGATTGTTCAGATAATTCATTTTTCAGCTCCCTTTTGTCATAAACACAGCAGCAGCAATGTTGATTGTGCTCTCCACTTGACAAGCAGTAGCTGGCAGCATGTACCTGAGCAGCATCATAAGCTGTATCCCAATTTAGGGATCCTTTGAAGTCATCATTTCAAAATTGAAATGAATGATATATGCTTAAGGCTGTCACATTTCAAAAGCTTCTCTATACAGTATGTGACCAGAAATCCAGCCTTCTTTTGCCGGTATTTGCAGGACGCCACAGATGTGTACTTGGCATCTGTCAGTGTCCCACAATCCACTGCTCCCTGACCCATTGTTTAATTATACATTCAGACACTCAGTGTCTCCCATATCCTCGCATAACCATTACCTATTTACAAGGAATTTGCCTTCAGGTGGTGATAAATGTGCTGATACATTTATAACATGAACTGAACCAAGTACTGTAAGAAGACGCTGCAGATTGCACACAGTGGAAGCAAGGTGTCTATTTGTGTCAAGAGTCTGGGTATGTTATAGCAGAGCTTCACAGACTAACTGAAGCTATATTGATAAACAATATTTACAATTTACTGGGTACATTGTGTGCCATGTCTTGTCCATGTACAGAGAACTAAAACAAGCCATGAGTCAAAACAAAAACTACATCTTGAATTTTTGCTTTCAGGCAAAGCGTCCACAACAACAACAGTGGCTCATTCCTTTAAAGACAGGCTCGATCCGTTCTCCTCCTGTCCATCAGATACATATGAAGGACTCTCCGAGGACACAGCTAGCTGACACAGCTCTCCAGACTCTGAGCCCCACCATGTTTGTTCTCTGCGAGGTTGCCTTGTTATTACATGACACATCTAAAAGTCAATAGTCTACTACAGCTCATGTGTCAGTGCACGGACAACTCTCCTCCTACCCTTTGAAGAATCATCTTATTATAAGAGACTTATTATAATTTTCTAATGTGATGAGTGGACTTGTATTCCAGGGGAATTCATCTCCATTAAAAGGCCTGTGTGATGTAACATTAATCAGCTCCTCTATGAAACACCGGAGATGTCTCAAAAGTATGCCAGAGCTATTATTCTGTTGACTCAAGAAGTCACAATGTTAGGGACTTGTTGTGTATAATAACACATGCTACTATTAAAAGATATTGATTTGGGAACCATGGCAGCATTAATCAGAAATATTGCACATGTGGGTGCAGCAGCTTTATTGCAGACTCCTTTTATATCTTTTTACTGGTACAGATTTTTTCATTTGCAGAAACTCTGCTTTACACTGTTAAATTTGGCAAAATGAATGAAATATATATTGTAATATCAATAAGTGTATTATTCTTGAACCAGCAACAGCAATTGATTGAATTACTTGAGTCATGCCAAACATTTTGTAATTAAAGCAGCAAATCAATTGTCTCATGATAAACCGAGTACTTTTAGGTTTATTGACTCCACAACCACCTCTTTACATCAGCCTTACACAAAGTGCCGACAACCAACCTTGCTCACTTACTTACAGTACCTCACAGCGTAGCTGCTTATTCTAGCTCAGTTACACGTTAGTCTACCTGTATTAATCAATACGTTGACAGGCAGGAAGGGGGGAGACACCACAGTGGCAGCAGCTTCGGAAGAAAAGTGTCTTGGAGTAAATGCTACAGATAAGATTAACTAAACCCACTTTTATTTCAGCTGAAAACCATTGTGTATGGGTATTTACTGGTGTTGTTGATGGAAACAGGTCCTAACCTTGACATTTTAGTGCAAAGTATTTGAAACACTGATTCACCTGATGTCGTTCTCAGATTTCAAGTCCAGAGAAAAGGCTTATGCTGTGCTGTGATTGTAATGCTACACTGGTTACAGAAAATCAGCTGAAGATAGACACAACTAGTCCCCCTTCTCCCTGCCCTGCGCATGTTGATATTTGTTTTCACGTTCTAGAGGCATCTTTGGAATTTCCAGGGTGGAGGCACTACTTCCATAACTCTGGGATTTAGTTGCTCTTTTTTTTTTTTTTTTTTAAAAGAAAGCCATCGGCAGCGAAAGAGCGCTCCTGGGAGCAGGGGAGATGTGGCGAGCTCACCTGCAGGCATACATCATGAGCATGTCAACAGTGTTTGTGTAATCAAATAATACTATTTTAAAGTAATGTCACTGCCAGCTGGGGAAGACAAGATCATCTTTCTAGCTTTAATTTGGTGTCACAAATGCAGCACCGTCTGCATAAAAAAGGTCACAAAAGCAGGTCGATTTTAACTGATTTATGTATATAATACAAAATTAAATAAATGACCCCATGGCACTCCCCTGGGGAACCCTGCAAATTATGGATTTAGGACTAGAAAGCCTTCCATTAACATCTTATTTACTGTATGTAAAATAGGTTTGGATGGGTGCTTTGTAAACACAGGATAAAATATGCTGCAGTAAAGCTGTGCACTAGATTGCTAGCATTATTTGCCCTGCTGTATATTCACTCTGTGATGCTCTGTCCTCCAGCTCTCCTTGTCAGAACGGAGGCACATGTATGGATATCGATGGCTTAGCAGGTTACCCTTCCTGTGTATGTCCCCCTGGGTCATCTGGAGACTTCTGTGAGATCAGCATTGACAGCTGCCAGCCTAATCCCTGCCACAACGGTGGCAACTGTACGAACCACGGCCTGGCCTTCACATGTGTCTGTCCGCTCGGCTTCACTGGTTTCACTTGTAATGACACCAGCGTCTCGCCCTGCACCGGCAGGCCCTGTGCCGACAGGGGCATGTGTGTTGGTCAGCCTGATGGAACCTTCCAGTGCGTTTGCCAGAAATGGTTTACAGGTCCCACATGCTCCCTGCAGCACAGACCGAAGGCCAGGTCCAAGCCGGTCGGTGCCAAGCCGGTGGACCACAGAGTGTTTGCACTGACACCGCAGCACTATTCCCTCCCTGCTCACACCTTCCATAAGCTTCTCAGACCGCCCGAGAGAGACCTGCTCAAGATCACCCTAAAGGAGACAGTCCACTCCCCCGGCGTCCTCATCACCCACGGCCAACTCATCTGCTTCGGCATGCTGGCCCTGCTCACCTGCGTGGTTATATTGTGCACTACAGGCATTGTGTTTTTTGGCCGCTGTGAGACGTGGCTGGCTAATGCCAAGTACAGCCAGCTTGTTCGTCAGCAGAGGGAACACCTGCTGAGAGAAGCCGGCAGCTCGAGCCAGGAGGAGCAGGAGCACTCGGTTCACGTCATCCTGCCGGAGAAGATTAGACTCACCAGCTTTGGGAGACACTACACCTCCATCTGATTAAATCACCTCTGCCTCTTCCGCTATCCCTCTGGAAGGAGTTTAATATTAAATGTTGAAAAATAGTTACGAAGAAAATACTATGACTGTTGTACAGTTGTGTTGTTAAAGTGAGAGATACTGGACTAAACTGGAATATATTGGAATGTATAATCTAATGGACTAACCATGACACTGGATTGTACACTTTTAACTTATATCGTACTGTTGAGAACTACCCATTTAAAACGTATGAAATTATAAAAGATGTACTACTTTGATGGTTGGTAAAAATATGTCATTGTAGTGTATTTTTGATTTCGCAGTCATGATTCAACTGCTTTGTAACATGTTGATTTGCAATACAATAATGAGTTGAATAATAAAAAAAAGGGAGAAATTAAGTTGATTTTTTAAAAAAGCACATGTAACCTAGACTACTTTTCTTTCAGTAATTGTAATTAATCTAAGTAATCATACTAGTGATTTTTGATTTGTTAAAAGGTGCATTTTAAGAGAGTGGGAGCTTTTCCATTGCCTCTCACGGTTCTCAACATTGCGATGGCTGAGCCGGCAGCTCATTGCTAATGGTGCTAACAGTGCTAACAGTGCAAACTGCTGCAAAAGTGCTGATAGATCTAACAGTGTTTACCTGGGGGGGAACTGGAGATTGAGTGCTATGCTTTCGTGATGATGCAGTCGGTAGGGACCGCGTCATCAGCTGTAACTGCTGTATGAGAGCAGTGCAAAGCGAAGGCCGTGAGCTAACAAGTAGGGCACGCTCACATGCACAAACGTGCACCAGAAGCAATGACAAAGCAATGACAAACTCAGATTACAACACACACAGAGGGAGAGTGACTTCATTCTCTGCTCAGGTAGACATTATTCCACTATATCTTTACATAGCAAATAGTTGTTTAATGCTATATTAATGCTCTGTATCCCGTAAATTGCACCGTTAACCAATTGTTCTTAGTTTTTATAACCATGACTCAAACTGAAACGATTAATCGACTAGTTCATCGACAAAAAATGTAAAATATATTTATTGCGTTAATCACTTTAGTCAACGTTACCTGGTGTCTGCTTCTCAAATGTGATGATTTAATGCATTGATGTGTCTTATTTTATAGTAAACTGAATATCTTAGGGGTTTGGAATAGCTTTCAATAGCTGTGGGATATTTCAACCGGCAGTTTTCACTATTTTCTGATGAGAAAATAATCAGGAGAATTAATAAACAATGAAAGTAATTGTTAGTTGACATCTCCATCCAACGCAATGTGAATTTTCCATTTCATAATTAATGTAAAAGTACATATTAGCAGTTAGTATAGTTTGTACACTATGTGCAGTTCAAATGTGTAATTTGATATTACTACATGCCACCCAAACAGTTGTACTTTCAAATTTTTCAAAGCTCTTTTCATGTCAAGGTAATTTGTACAAGTATGTACCTGGAGAGGCAATATCACCTCCTAAATACCATCCAAATGTCTCTCTCTGCAAATGTATCACTTAAGATGTTGGTGTATTTACGTGGATGTTAAGACAGGTTTCTTTCACAGTTCATCAACAGAAATGCCACTTTCTATTTTCCATCATCCATTTGTATCCATGGCATGAATCCTCACCTATTGTCTCAATCGCATATACTCATTTACAGTGTTTCAGTGTTACCGTTAATGTTGGAATTCTATAGGTCATGCACCATACATCTCCCAGCCCAGGAATCAATACTGCAACATCTGTTACCAATGTTATTGGTTTGTCTTATCATGTGTGATATGATGAGACACCTACTCCTGATTGAGGGAAGAAGTGGTTTCATAAATGCTGAATGTATGGGAAACATGTCTGTCACCCAGTAAAGATAGTGTGGAGCATTATTTAATGTAACATATTTAAATTAATTTGCTGATATGAGAATTAGAGTGATTTTAAAGTGGGAGATTTTTTTCTCTTGAGTCTCACAATCATATGCCCCAATTTAGCTCCCCTTTATCCTGTGAGGAGATGCTGTTAATGTGGTGGGTTTTGTCGATCACAATTCTTCTCTAAATGTGGCATTTCTACAAGGGGTAGTGACTGTAACAGTGTAGTACTTATCAATATTTATTCCAATCTGAGATTATTTGCTGTTGGGCTTTGGCCAGATAGTGTTTGTTTTCTGTTCATTGTTTTTAATAAATACGGTATGTATAAAACCGCCATCTTAGTTTGTCTGTTCTGTACTGCATCTCATCTTGTTACGATAATATCAGATGCTTGGCAAGGCTACAACGTCAGATGCTTCACAGTATGAGATGCACAACCGATGCACATTATGCACCACCTGAAATCTGCTCTCCTGCTCTGTGATGCTTAATTCAATTAATCTGCAGGCCCAACTCACTGATTATCAACTGGCTGATAACCGTCACTCTGTCAGCTCTCCTCCTGAGTATCTCTGTTTCAGATGGCAGTCTCTGTCTCCACCTTGTGGCACAACAAGGACTTAAGATGCAGTAGTATGCAACAAGTAAGATCTCTAAATGTGAAAGAAACACTGTTAAAATGTAAAGTAAAGGGTAGCTCGAAGACACAGCCTGTTGAAAACTCAGATCGAAATACAAATGATATGTTAACAGCTGCAAAAAAGTGCTGATTCTACGAAAAAAAAATGAATTAGTTATTTTGACTCTTATATTTAGTATCTGTATGTATGTAGAGCACCCAACGTTAGAAAAACACAAGCATATGTACTATGTGTTGGAAAATAAAGCATAGCATATCTAAGAAAGGTTGCTTAGTGTTAATGTATTTGTACTGAAACTCACACTGGTGTGCACCTCGTTCAATGTGACTGTGTTTTCTTGATATCTGGTCTACATAGTTTCACAGTTATGATCTCTGGTTATTAAAGGCCCTGCACACTCACACAGGTGTTTCAATTACTCTGGCTGATTAGATGTCTAGTCAGGTTGGGTTGGGTTGACATGCTGGGAATGACATTGTCACTAAACGATTTACTAATACGAACGATAAATGCACGGTCAGACGGGATTTCTCTACACGGTCATTTCTATGACAAGATGTGACTTGACCCACACAAATGTGAGCGGATTTACCCTTGAAATGGGAAAGGTTACCGTGTGTTAATACATTACATGATGAAACAATAAAAAGCGGCAGAGAAGGTAGGGCGCTGCTTGGTGGAAGTGAGCGCAAGAACCGTGACAGAAACTAATGACAGAAAAGTGTATGATATATGAAGCAATTTAAAACTTTAAAAGTTTATGTTTAGAACAATAGTGAGGAGAAGGGCAAATGAGATGTTTGTCCTGAGAAGAGGTATGATGAGGCAAATATGATGAAAATATTTTAAAATATTCAAAACAGTTTCTTCTGGCTGCCATTTGGGACATAAATGTGTCAGACTGCATTTGAAGCATTAATGACTCATTGAAGTGACGTTAATAATTCACTTTATATTAGAGAAATATTTCATTTTAATGAATCCAGTTCACTAAATGGTGTTCCCTTCATATGCATGATAACACATTACACATATCCATATCTCATTAAAAAGTTGATGACATATATAACAATATAAACGGTGACTCTCCCAAACCAGGAAAGCATTGGTAAAATGAGCATCTTTAGAGTGTCTTGAACTCAGCATAACCGAGTCAGCAGTTTTGCTTCTCAGCCAACAGAGAGCAGTGCAGACGTATTTATTCGACCCAATATGTTTTAGTCTTACATTTTGATGTTTAAAACATATCATGTAGTATTTAGAATATGCCCACAAGGTGTCATCCATCTAAAATGAGAAGGAAGAAGGCTGGCTGTAAATAGGAGTTCATCACGATGTGATGCATTTCACTCCACTGAAAACATTGCATTTTGTTAACTGTGAAGTAGTTGACTTTTTACGCATTTAAAACTAAGCATACACCAATATTTTTTAATATATCTAAAATAGCTGCAAAAAATGTATAAAAACAACAGTATATCAATAATCTTTCCTGATTTCACTGGTCTTCTTCTGAGCAGGAACGCAGACCATTACAGGAGTGCTGCCTGTCCCACATAATAATAGATTTGTCGCTGCACAACTTCAGTTCACCGTTTGGGTGACGATCTGTGTTTTTTCATTGTTTCTCTCTCTGCACTACATCCAACAATTTCTCACTCCAGACTGAACTTTAGTGGAAAATGTCCTGCTGTGTTGTATCCATGACCAATAAAAGCCAACCTTAACGGTCCAGTCCAATAGATTTCAATATGTGGCAGCATACATATAGTTATGTATATAGTTATACATAATTAAAATGTTAAACTGAATGTTAATCATCATGGATTCCATAGGGATTACAATCTTTTCTTGATGCTGCCACTTGGCACTAAATGGATCTTAAGGCGACTATAACAGTCAATACTTGTGACAATGCTGTAACCGAGGCTCCATCAAAAGTTCCCGAATAAACTTTTCATAACAACATTTTCAGTTCTCTAATAATATCTACATTCCTTGAAAACAATGTCCACACAGAAACTAAAACTGCGACTGAGCAGGTTTATTTATACCAGTATAAAGAAGGTTGTTTAAAGCATGGTTCAATGTTACATGTTAAACCTGAATCACAAAGGTTTTAACGAAAACATTTTAGTGTGCTGTGGCCCTGGCTCCCCACCACCAGACGACATTAATTTGCAGAGTTATGGCCCTGGGGAGAGAGGGGCCCTCACCTTCAAAGCTGTGCAGAGAAGCAACAAAAAACCCACCTCAGCAACCCCATTCTGCTCCCACCAAGTTTTGAAGCAAGACAGACCAGCAAAAGTTATTTTTCTCCCCCCTAGCCTGAGACCTTTAACCCTTTCTTCCTGCCTGCCGTGTCCCCTGACAGAGGAAACTCCAGATCCATGAAAAATTACACATGGAAAGGAATCCAGATTGAAAGAAATTCCAGTGAGGGTGTTCTTTTTGGGAAGCACTGCAAGATATATTTCCTATAGGCAGGTATCCATCAGTCAACTGTTAGCTCCACATAAATACTGGATGTTTGTTAAATGTGTTCCAGATGAGCAGGAAAGAAAGGTCATCGTAAAGCCCGTGCAGTCAGACCAGCAACATATCTAATGTCTACATGGGACCCACTGAATATCTTTCCTGTCTGATCAGTTCAATGAAAGTGAGTGAGTCGTTTTATTGGGAAGATATTTGAGAGCCAGAGGTGGTCAAATGATCTATTCATTTAAAAGAAAAAAGCAAGTATTAGACAAAAGTCTGAAAACATGTTTTCTTATCTTCTTACGGTTGCAATGAACTATCAATCTATTGATTATCTTTTAGATTAAATTGTTAGAAAATAGTAAAAATGTCCGTCACAATTTCCCGAATCCCAAGGTGCTGTCTTTAAATTGTTGGTTTGTTTGACCAAAACTCCAAAATCAAAAGACATTTACAGTAATTTAAAAAGAACCAAGGAACCTGTTGACTTGTTCCTGCTTTATATTGCTCTGTTGTTCAACAACACATCTCCTCATGTGTGGATATAATATCTAAAGGACATAATGTGGAGTGACCATGTGAATTAGCTGCAGAAACAGAGATTTCTAACTTTGGGACCAGCGAAATAAACAAGTTCCTGATGTCTGGACTAAAACCTGAAGGATGCCACGCTATTTCGCTGCCATGACTCAGATCTGAAGAGAAATCTTGATCTTGTTTTCTTGATGCATAACAAAAGCTTTACTCATTTCCACTTTATTGCGACCACAAATTTTAATCAAGTGATGAAAACTGGAAGGATATGATCTATTTCACTGCCACGACTGAGATCTGAAGAGAAACAGCAACCTTGTTTTCCGGAAACATAACAAAAGCGTTTTCTCATTTCCACTTTATTACAACCACTAATTTCAAACATGGAGTGATATTGCTATAACTCAAATTAGTTTCAAAGCCATGATTCATAAGCACTTTTTTTCTGGTAAAATTACCTACTTTAACCACAATAAGCATCCTTGTGTCATTTATGTTTCTAAAACCTATGATGTGTACAGTGATTTATGTCCCAGTTGTGACTTTGCTGCCATGCAGGAGGTAACCGCTTTATATTCCAAAGTTGACTATGAATAATGACGCTGTGGAGGCTGGAGACACAGGGAACCTGACAAGATGTTGCTCCACATACACGGTGTGTCAGCGTTATTATCTGGTTCCCTGAGTCATTGGAGTCTGAGGCATTGCCCCCCCCCCGTTGTGTCTTCAGTGCGTCGTGACTCGTATCAGACTCTGAGAGGATTTTCCTTCAGTTTAAGATGGTGTGTACTACAATGCTGAATTAAATCATTTTCCAGGAAAACTACAAGATGCATACAATATTTTGGACATTTGGTAATGTGGTGATTTCAATGGTAGTGTTTCCAGATATGCTCATGAGCAATAATTCAGCATTAACTCACAACAGAGAGTTAGACATATTTTAGGATGTACATAAGTGCACTAACACAGTTAAATGCCTTCACTCCTAACTCTGCTCTGGGATTGGTGTGCTAAGCCCTGAACACATTTGTGTTTAGACCCTTACAGGTGGATATATCACTCAGTGTAATAGGATCAAGTGTGATTATCCTCATTTAATTGTGAGAGGTCAAAGGCTAAGGAAGGGGCTGTGGAGAACAAAGCACGGCTTTTTCACTGCAAACCAAAGATCTATAAACCACTATACGGTTCAAAAGGACACATATAGTATCTCATCCTAACAACAGAGACCAAACTTTACAGGACATGGTTGATTTTAGAAGAAAAGAAAATGTTAGAGAAAATGTTTGTAAAATTAGTTTAATTTTTAAGATTTTTGTTGTTGCGAATAAATTGGTTTTGATTGTGAATCAGTCAAGAAATCTGCATTAAAATAATGCAATCATTTCTGTTTTTACTGACTTTTTATGTTTGGAGCTTTTGGAAGATCTTCATATTTTCTGCTTCTCCACACCAATTTGAGTGGCTCAACTTCAGACAGGAGATTTCTGGAGGAATCCATGAGAGGCCCGTTGTGCTTTATTGTGCAGGAAATTGAACATTCATCCTTTTGTCTTCTTACCATAAAAGACCAAATTACTGTAAAATCTATGCACAAGCATGATGTTATTGCAAAAAGCGAATACAAGGAAGCACACAAGCTCCCCCACCTTGCATGCAACCACAATGATGCCACTTACCTCTTAAGTATTTAGTTTGAAATAAAATAGGCCTGCAATGAAGAAGTAGATCAAAGCATTTTATTGTATGAAAAATATATCCATAAAACGTAACAATATTTACATAACAGTTGCGCCATGCAGGGCAGAGAGCAGTAGCTTCACGCGTGATCTCCAGTAAAACATCAGTATCGGTTCTCTGGATTCAGCCCGTTTAAAAACCGAACTTCACTATATACTGACGAGCAGAGTGATGGCACATCTCAACATCCTGATGGGTTATTAAAGGCGCATTTACATAAGGAGAAGAAATACAAAATAAAAATAAAAACTTTTGACACACAAAATAATTTTGTTCACAAACAATCAAGGTCCAAACAAACCTTTTTGTAGATGGATTCTAAACAGCACGTCTAGATGTCCAATATGACATGAAGGAGCCTATAGCCTAGTGCATCCTACAATGTTGAACAAAATACTGAAAAATAAATATACTTAAACCAATATTGACGGAGGAAATCTATCTAATTGGAGTTATAATACTGAAATAATATGCAGCATTTTGTTTTCGTCATAGCAGCTATACAAAGATGAGAATTAATCTACACTAATAACTAGATTACTGGATTTCTCCAGCGTTTCTCTGTATTGATCGAGCCAGTCTCTGAGCTCTGTGATCCGATACCCCTCGGGTCCTCTGCCACCCTGGTAAACTATCGTTCCCTCCTGCAGTATATAAAGTCTGTCGAAATAGGCTCCGTACGCAGCGTTGGAGGAGTTTTCCATACTGTCGACCACGACCGGGCAGCCGGGCACCTCCAGGTGCATCAGCTGCGCAGCGTTTAGTCGGTCCTCCAGACACCGGTGTGTGGGGATCTGATAGGGCGCGTCAGTGCTCATCCAGCCGTCGGAGGGGTGCGCTTCCTCGATGTACACAACTACAGAGTCTGCTATATCTGCGTTCTGCTGCACGACTCCCCGAAAAGCCTTCAGACGCACCATGAACGGTGGTCAGGTGCAGCTCCCAAAGTTGAGGATGAGCGGTCTCTTTTCTTTTGCGTAATCGAGGATGCGGCTGCGCCTCTGATCCTCCAGCTGAACAACTTCGGTGTTGGGGGCTCCGTGTCCGAGATGCGCTGCCTTCAGAAAGTCCAGTTTATGGCCGTGCCACACTGCCTTGAGGGACTCAAGGCTGAAGAGACGATTGGAGTCCGATATGCACAGTGGAGGATCGATGGCATCGCCCTCCTGCTGCTTCATCCTGAAGAAAACCCTTCTCCTTATGCATAAAAAGTCAAGCAGCCAAAATATGAGTGCTGCCATTAGAAAGCGGGGCAGCAAGACGAGACAGACTATTGCATTTTTAATAGCTTTAATAGTATTCATTATCACTTATAACTACCCGATGGTGTTATGCTGTGCCACGATCTTGTGGGTTGAAGTTAGGTTACTTGCAACTTCCTCTCTTTTTATAGCACCGGCAGATTTGAATGAATCACACCCCGCCTCCAAACTGGGGCCGAGGCCTCACATGGTGGGGATTACCTTCTGTCAACCCCACAGTTTTGAGTCACAGCCAAAAGCAAAGGGTGCGGCACAGCAGCTCTTTGTTTGGAGAAACTGTTAAAATTAAGATTATCATCCAATGATGTTTGAGCAGTCAAATAGTTTCAATGTCGTCGCATATCATGTGTGATAACAGCGTAAAGTTGATGCTGTTGCAGACTTTTCTACTGCATTGGCTGTTTGCTGGAGCAGATTTGGGCAGAAGCTGACTTCACTTAAATGACTGGCCTGTATAGGCCTACTATAAATACTGTCCTTAACCGAACCACCAACACATGTGAACAGTCAGTCTACTGTTTCTCTTAATGCAATGTAATATCTGTCCATATTGACCGATGCTAGCTCAAATGATGTTATACACTCAAAACATCTGAGGAGTTTAAATATATTTTTGTTTAAGTCACATTTATGGTAAATCAGAAATGGGATATACATTATACAGTAAAGTAAGATTCAGAGGTGGAGAGGTGAACATTTGTAATGCCTTATGAAAAAAGTTACATTCTCATTAACAGAGAAAAAATATTTCTGATAGAAAAAGCCAGAAATATGTGAAAGGATGAATTGTGACAAAGTCCAACATCTGAAACAAAAAGTCTGAAATCTTCTGCAAGTCAGAATTGTGTCACTTTCCAGAAATACTTCTTCATATTTCTGAATTTAAAGTCAGGGTTTGGAGATGAGAAAAATGTGAATTTTGTGACACAACATTTTTTTTCATGTGGCCATAATCCTCTAAGGTGCTCTACTGGGTCAACTCTAGTAACATTACATAAAAAGAGATCCTAAAAACACAAGTCATAAGCTCCCTGTCAGTCGGTCAGGGTTGTTTGTGATGTGTTTGAAGAGCTGCCGTCTTTAATCAACCCCTTTTCTTCCCAAAATACTTAATAATAAGTGTCCAAAAACAATTAAAAAGTTCTACCTGGATCTGCTGATGTTTCGCCCAGTGCCACTGTAAGTATAAAGATCCTTTTAACCAGCAATTGTCATGAAAATATATTTTTGAATCTGTTCAACACTTCAGAATAACACTGATCTGTGCAGCCTTATTGTGTTCATGGTCAGCTTCACAAATCCTCTAACAAACCGACTGACTGAGCTATGTTGGCATTTCGAGATCCTCGATCAAATAATTGTAAAGTTGTCTGACAGACAAAACAGAAGGACACCACCAACTAATAAAAACTGAGAATGTGATCAACTATATGTTCAAACACAAAACAAGTTATGGATGAAGAAATCTCAGTACATCAGCCAATCCGCTGCTGGTCTTTTGACAGTTGAGACAGGATCTGGAGGGATGAGGTGCACACTGAGAGCTTGTCAATTTGCTGCACTTTTAAGTTATCCACATCAAAACAGATCATTGATCTCTTATTTGTCAAGAGGAAGAGGAAATACACAAGCCAAATGAGAAGATTAGGTGGACATAGTAATGAATGCTGTAATATCACACCAGCTGTACACCTGCTGAACACAGACTCTGGTCCCATGAATTCAGCTTTTCAACATCAACACTCACTTAAAAGTTTCAGCTATCAGAAAGTGTATTGGTTTGATTAGACGGCAACATGACAGAAGCTGCAGCATGGGAGGTTTTATCACAATGTTGATACATATTGTGATATAATGCATTTTCTGGAAAATAAAATAAGGAAATGTTATGGAGAAGATAGATGGTAAAGACTGCTTTTTGGCTAATCCAGCTAGTTAAATACCTGAAAAATCAAAGTATACTGTACTACATTAATGCAAACTAATGCTGTGATTTGTCACTTTGCAGTCAGTCTACAGTCTTTCACCACAACAGACCTTCACTCCATCTTTAAGGAAACATGAAACTTTGGAAAAACTGTAGAGAAACTCTTGGGGGGAAAAAAAAGAAGAAGTATTACAGGGAAACTTATTCAAGGCAACTGACTGCCAGACACTTTTGAAAACACTTAAGAAAATGCTGCTCTCAACAGGGAGCCGAAGGACAACATAAAAAACACCCGTGAGAATCCACCCACAGAAATAAACACAACTTTAGAAGATACATGTCTAACAAGGCCACTAACTCATTTCCAGAGGAAAAGCTAAGGAAGGGGCCAAAAGCATCTTGTCAGAGAACTATTGCACAGCAAACCGTTCACACGTTACTGCACAATTCTGCTGGTGCATGTGAGTTTCAACAACAGGGAGTCTAAACAGACACATAGGAAGAAACAATGAAGATATTGTGAAAGTATAAAACATTATGAATATTGTTTGGCTTCAACAATAACTCAAATAAAACACTAACGCAATCATTGAATCAAAAGTTCCTCTGCCGCACTGAACATTTGAAAATGATGTTACAGTATCACTCCTGCTATTACTGCTACTACTGCTGCCACTGTGAGTAACATTACTATTACTCTTTAAATATGTGAAAGGATTTCATACGTGCAAAATATATGATCCGTGATCTACAGTAGAATTTCAGTATTTGGTATCACTTTGAGAAACAATACAAATATTATATTCGGTCCATCATTTGGGAATAAAGTTAAAACATGATTCTGATACATACTGGTCACCTTAACATTAGGTTGAATTGTATGTTTCTCTGATTAATACAATACTGGCTAATCGCTACATAACAAATATTGTTTTCTAAAACTAAAATCGATAAAGGATAATAATATAGCTCTGAAATTCAACTGGTAACTTGAAAAAAGTAATTGAATAGTGTTTTTTTACACGACTACAGTGTTGATACATGGGGATCACATATCTCCTCCTTACATGTCCAGACAGAGATGATTAAGTGTTGGGTCTTGTGTACTGGGGGGCGATCTGTTAAGCGTTTCTGTGCTCCACAAGGATTAAACATCTGGACACACATATTAGCCATTACTGGCTAAACGCCATTTACTGGTCTGGTGCGCTTATTCAACAAAAGCATTCCAGGTCTAGTGAGCACATGGTAGATTGGTTAAGCCCTAATCGCCTGTTACAGTGAATCCATATCATATTATCAGACTGCAGGGTGGCTGAAAGCCAGACATGGAGGGAAGATGTCATTTGTGTGCAGCTCACAGATGTCGTGATGACTCAGGGAGTCCTACGGTAAGTTTGTCATGTTGTCTGAAAGAAGCATATGTTTTTCTTAACAATAGTCAAACTAATTCACTTACATGGTCATATAGGCTCTATTCTCAGATAAAAAAAACAAAAAATCTGTTTGTTATTTAATATTGTTTGGCTCTTTTTATTGTATTGTAAAAACGTGACAAAGTGCAATCGAAACAGACAAAGACCAATAATGACACGATGAATGTGACTTAAATGTCCACTGAAGCTAGCGAAAAATGCACTGCAATGTTCCTCACATTAATACATAAAAAATATATACAAATGCCAATCTTAATTCATTTATCAAGCAAAAATGCCAAACATTTAGCATTAGTTTTGCATCTATTGAGAATTGGCTGCATTTCCTTGTCTTCTATCGTCGTAAGTTCAATACTTTTGGGTCGAATAAAAGTCATTTCAAGATGTTAACTTGGATTCTGGGAAATTGTTCTGGAAATTTTTCACTATATTCTGACTTTTTACAGGCCAAACCTTTAACAGATTAATCCCCATTAATATCATTATTAGTGTTTCCGTGAATTATGTCATTGCCATTATTATGTACTTCTAATCAAATATTCTTAAAGTTTGTTCAGTTTTTGTGTACAAAGCAGCTGACTACACTTAATATGAACCTAATCTTTGCCTTTGTTGTTTCGGCTGAAAACCAGAGATGTCTAGCCTGCTTACTTTTACCTCGTATAAACTTTGCTGGATTCTTGGCAGCAGCTCCAGGTTCGTCTGAGGACAATGCAGATCTTGGAAAACACCCCTTTTCTGCTTCGTTCTTATTGAGCTGGCTGCGCTCCAGAAACCACAGCTGATGGGATATCATAAAGACTAACACAAGACCACAAAACAAGTCGGCTCCTTCTCTTTTCAAGTCACTGAATAGAATGGAGGATAGAAATCTACCTCTTCCCCATCCTTAGCTTCACCTTCCTCAACCTCGTCTAAATCAAAGAGCACCAGTGTTCACACTCAACTTGAATGAACTGCTGTTGCCTGCCCTGCGGGCTGTTTGTATCTCAGCAACAGGCGAGCCAATGAGGAGTGGACAAACATATTATAATAATCAGTTTCATCTTGCTAGTCACATCACTCGCGAGACGATTCAAAGTAGCGTCTTAGTTTGGACATTTCTTTCAATAACCTCTTAAGATCCCAATGACAATCAGCAGTATGTGAAGCTGTTGAACCGACTAAATATACAGAGACGTACTAGAAGAAAGAAAGAAAAGGATTTTGAAATCTACAAATGTCATAAAAGCACCTATTGTAGTCCGTAAGAATGAGAAAAGGATGATATTTTCAAATTGTCACCTTCGGTGTGTCTGTCAAAGTGTCGCCGATATTGTAACATTATGCCTTTGTGATGTCTCTGTGGTGTAGCTTGAGGCTTAATGGTAGTGTTACAAGTGTAAAACCTTGTGAAGTTTAACTGTCTGCCTGTCTGGTGTTTAACAAAACAACACCCGTCTGAGCCAAATCTCAAGGTAACACTGACACCTGATCTGCTGTAGGTAGGACAAAGGTCATTGTTTCATATTGTAAACAATCTAATTAAATAACCATGCTTCAAGTAACAAAAGGATGCCGGTATTTGCAGATTTAACACAAAAAATGCAGCTATACAAAAATAAACTGAGAACTGTGATTATCTCTACGCTTTATAAATCTATTTCAAAAACATACACATATAACAGAAAAAAAAGAGACTGGTGACTTCTGAGGTCAATCAGAAACTGCAAC